AATTTTTCACCAGGCCTGACCACTTTGCCAAATAAAATTGAGTTTTCGTATATGTTCAGGGGGGCAAAAACGCAGTCGAAGGCGGAAATATATATTTCGCGGAATAATAATAGGTAAGAAAAAGAAACGAAGCAAATACAATAGGGACCTCCAGCGGTCGCAGGCTCGGTCCTTAATAATGATCTACCATACATTTCAATTCAACTCAATTTTCTTTGTATAGTGCCAAATCATAACAGAACTTATCTTAGGACAATTTTCAAAAAAATAGAGCAGGTCTAGACGTAGACATTTGATTGAACATCTAGGTTGCTGTCATACATATGTGTAGTGAACAATTAGGCTAGAGGTTATTGCAAACAGATGACTCGTAACAAAGTCAATTTAGTACTTGGAGCAGATAGAGTTTAATTATCATGAATCTGTAGATGTTTTTCCACTTTTAGCCATAGTTGCTTTGTCGGTCTGTTGGTCATCCACTACCAATCCAAGACTGAAATATCATAATCCCCAGAGGAAGAACCCTTGTGACTTTGGTGATCCATTTTCTCTAGCGCCACAAACGTTGGCATTTTTGTTTTTTAGTGAATTATCAAATATGTAGGCCATGGAATTTGGTTTAGATAATCATGTTGCTCTCATGATGAACTGGTCCATACCTTTCTATCAAATCAGTCATTCCCAACTAGCTCAACTATTATGTTTTGTGCAAATTTGCAAATGTTATCATGCTAACACGCTACACTAAGATGGTGACCATGGTAAGCATTACAAATGCTAAACATCAGCATGTTAGCATTGTCATTGTGAGCATGTGGCATGCTAGTGTTAGAATTTAGCTCAAAGCACTGCTGTGCACAGCCTCGCAGAGCTGCTAGCATTGCTGCAGACTTGTGTCTGAGCAGAACTCCTCATCTATTTCATCTTGAAAGTTCACACTTGACCTTGAAAACAGCAGCCAACAAAATAATCTCAACACTATTAAAGGTCAAGCGCGAACTGTAACTCAACAACTCAATATCAAAACAATCTAGATGTGTCAATGCTTGAAATTGATGGCTCCTTATATTAACATTGCCGTCTGTGGTGTAGCACTGGGCAGTGAATGGATGACTGATTTTATTTCCAGCAATCAGTACAGGCTTGTAGCCAGTTATTGGTTAAGCAGCAGTGCTGCTCTGATGATTAGGGCTAACAGCTGTTGCTGCTACTATAAAAGCCAGTCTCCCTAATGTCTGAAATCTAACAGTGCTAAGTCTAACTGCCAGATTTATAGGTCAGGTAGTTAGCAGTAGTAAGTGAATGGTAAAAAAAGGGAAAGTTGGAGTGAGGTTTCTAAGTTTGACTTTACAAGCAAGGCTTAGGATATTGCAGGTATCACTCTGATGCCCCACAATAAACTCCTGACCTTGAAGCATAAAAAAGCACATCGTAGGTGATTCAGCTTCCATCTCCGGAGATCAGAAGCATGGAAGGAATAATAAAACACACCTGAAGCAAAACTAAATTCTTCAACTGTGAAATATCTTTATTTATGCAATAATGAAAGACGGACTGGGTCCAATAAACACAATAACATGTTCATCACAGGATCTGTACAAAACAAACTCTGTAGCAGTGAAACAAGGTGTTTTTCTCCCTTATTGGTCATAAAGGCCAGTGTCAAATACTCATAAGACCAGAAATAAGACCACAAAAATAAATAAAGTCATCAAATTCCAGAAGAACCTGTCACACCATGTTAGTTAATTTACTAGAGTTTACTTTAGTAGTCATAAGAATTGTTAATAAATGGCAAATTAGGTCATTACCCAATGGTTAAGTCATGATTTGGTGAATACTAATCATTTGACAAATTAGTACTTAGTGAGAGGTTAATCATATTTATTTGAAGACAATAATAGTGTAACA